AAAAAAAGAAAAAGAAATAGGAATTTTGGCAAAAGAAAAAGGGGAAAAGGATAAGGTTTTCAAAGTTAGGGTTTTACGAAGAGGCAATTTTGGATAAATTAAAGAAAGAGAGCAGGGATTCTGAGGGATTTTCGAGGGGAAAGGGCGAAATCTACAGTGAGTAACAGGCGAGAGCAGACATCCAACACACTAATTCAAAACATTCAAGCAACAAAACTTCAGATACTCAATTTCAAAAAATTCAAGATGCAAAAACTCAGATACAGGAAGTACAAAATCAGGAGAACAACAACTTACTCATAATCACAGAGGAGAGAATCGGGAAAGCTTGAAGATTGCAGGAAGAATCGCCGGCAGAAACTAGGATTTTTGCAGAGAGGACTTTGAATGCAGAGGAATTTGGGAGAGAAGAAGGCGGAAAAAGTCCGAAATTTTACTAAGTGTCGGATTTATACATGGGGAAGTTTAAGGGATGAGAAGATGAAGACCGTTAGATTAAAGCCAGATCGTACGGTGGGAAGCATTAATTTACACGGCACTCAAGGCTGGCACGTTATGCGAAGAGGTGTCATTATTAAAGCGCCTGACACATACAGCAGACGTAACGTGTGGCAGAAAAGCAGGCGCGACAGAAAAGACTTGAAACAGACAACTTTCTTTCTAGCAATTAATGAGAAATTATTTGAAAACATAAGCGGGAAACTTATCGGCTGGTCGATATCGGACGACGAGCCATCCAGGAGTTCGATAAATACTAATTCACTCTTAGATCGAGTCATTCAGACTCGACCAGAGTGGGGGGACTAGATGATATGGGATATTATATACACAAGGCTAAACCGGTCTGCTCAGCCGGTCGAGAAGGTCAAACCAAGAGGAAGCCAAGCCAAAAGGCGGGAGGATCGATCATTTAGATAATCGACCAGGCAGGTAGTCGACCAATCCATCGCTCGACCAGATAAGCGATCGAGCAACCTATTCGACCTCATCAGGTCGATCGTCTCGAGGACCCAACAGTCGGCTTAGTCACAGGCCCGTGTGGGAACCTCTAACCGAATCTCAGGAGAATATTTACCCCATGTGCAGGGGGACACGTGTCGAGAATGCGTTGGTGGATATTGATAACCACCTCTGACAGCTCCCCAACGCCCCCGCGCAACCTCTGACATGCGTGCGGTGTGTCAAAGTACGGACGGGCAGCTTGGGGCAGCCAGCTCATCTTATCCGGGCAGCTATTAGGGCAGGTATCTCACCTCTATATAAAGGGGGTGAGTCTTTCTCCCTTAACACATTCTATTCATTCTTCACTTCAGTATACTCATACACATACTGACTTAAGCATCGAAGGCTCTTCACCGGACACAACCCCCGGTGTGAGAGTTACTTACAAGTTTCCGGCGTTCTACCGACGAGGACAAAGATCGATCCGCTCCAAACCGGACTAGGACGCTCACACTTGCATTATCAATATTTAAAGGATACCTATATTATGAGAAGGCATACCTGACTTTAGATTGACTACTTCGATTTTTGTTTTTTAAGTTGGCACGAAATTTAGATTAGAGAAATAATTAGGCCAATTTATATTGTTACACTGCTGATTGTTAAAATATTGCAATGCTAGATGCAATAACTTTATTGCACATGTACGTGAGTAAAGCAACACATTTAGATTATTACTAGGCAATTAAAAACGGGGCATTAAAAAAAAAAAATGCATTATGTTTCTCTCCATAACCGAGAATAAAAAGCTGATAAACATCAGTTTCATCAATGAGCTTCGGGTTAAGTTTTCGGCCCCTCGACGGGCTCGCCGCCGATCTGAGGTCGCTGAATAAGATAGTCCTCATCAAGATCCGACAGATGCCCAATGGTCATGGTTGCGGTTTTCGGGTCTTAATCCGGGTCTTTGATTCGATTCAATCAGTTTAAATATACAGAAGATATATAGAAAATATACACAAAAGATACAAATAAAAGATAAACCAATCTAACCATTATATACCGAAAATATACTGAAGATATACATAAGATATACACAGAAGATAAACGAAGTTTGTCATTATATACTAAACATATACATAAGATATACACAAAAGTAACCCAATCTTTTCGCACCAGATCCAGGCGCTGGTTTCCTTGGGTGGCGACCTTTACATCCAAATCCTCTTTGGCCCTCGATATACAGCTTGAGTTTTCGAAAGACAAACCTCTTGGAGATAAACGTTTCCATAAATCTCTTATCGATAGGCCCATCATCTTTGATTATGATTCGGATCTTGGGATCTTCACGGGCGTTCTCGTCGGATAATAGGACACCTAAACGAAGCTGTCTGTAACCATTGAGTTTCCATCGGAAATCCATGACCACTCGAAGCAATCAGTCCCGTCGGTGACAAGACCACTGGGTTCCCATCGATGCGGTCTTCCACGATCCACCGTTTTTCGCCTTCACCTAATTTCGCCATTGTTGATGTGAGATGGTGGAGGCGGAGAGGAAGTAGACGAGTGGAAGCGGAGAGATGGAGAAGTTCTGAATACTTCTCAAGGGAAAAGGTGGACGACTTTTTTTTTCATTCATAGTTAGGATAGTATTAATTAGGGAATTGGTAGAAGTACAAATAAAAATTAGGGTATAGGTATAACTACAACTAAAAAATATTGATAGTATATGTGCAAATAAAAGTAATATTGGTGGTGGACGGTGTAATTTTCTCAAATAATTATGGTACTGGTCAAATAATTTTCTCAAATAATTATGTACTTGTAGCATTACTCTACATGCAATTAGCACTCTTGTGCAGAATATCAGCATTGCATTTTGCAAAACTATAGTAAAGACATTTTTCATAAAAATCAAACCCGTCTTTTTTAACCTTATTTTTTTGGTGCCTCTAACGAAATCCGCATTATATAATTTGCATTTCAGCCAACCATTTGAGCTGAAATTCTAGTTACAGACTGAAATAACTTGATAAAACCTAAGATCTGAGAAATTTTCAACGTTAATTGCCACAAGAAAATTTCAAACAAAAATATTCAGAATGAAGCACAAGTGCTTAGTCAACAATCAACCCAGTCCTGCTCTCCTCAGACGGTGGACATGAGTTAATATGACGATCAGGTGTGAAAAGACATGAGCATCTGAGATGACATGAGCTAAGATGTACCACCGTGGGTAGGTGAACATTTTTGACAAGCAACCACAACAAGAAGTTTATATGGATGAGGGGAAAAAGGGATGGAACTATATCATTATATACATGATGCATGTGCATTGCCGAAAATCAAAGAACGATTACCCAAAAATACAAAAAGAGAAAAGAAAATGCAAGAGCTTTGCGTGTGGAACCAAAATATTCACCTCAACTATATGTCATCACATCACGAACCTCAACTAAAACGATCAAGAAAACAACAAAACGTAAGAAGAATTACTCAAGAATTTCGGGTGCCTTCTTGAAGCATCATCCCTTTGAGACTTTTGGCAAGCCAGATGGCGGTATCCCTAGGCGACACCTTTTCCCTCCCGAAAGGCTTCAAGACCACAGCAAGCTCCTCCAGCCTGTTGTGCTGCAGCAACTCTGCTGACAGTTCCAGAAGCCCCTCCAATGCGTCTGCCCTCTGTCTGCATGAATTCACGTCCAAAGTCTCTTTTACCAGCGGCGGGCCTTCTTCCCGGGCTGCTGTTACTGGTTCAGACGAATACGGCCCCTCATCCATTTGCATTGAAGGATTTGAGGCCGTCATATCTATTTCCTTTGTGATGGGGTTTTCCGGGACATGCAAGTCGAGAGGCGTTAGTTTGGGATTTTTTTCCTCTTGTGCCGCATTTATCAATTTCCTAACTTCTGGGTGCTTAGGTCCCACCTGAAAACAACTGTGGTGTATGACATGGATGACCTCATCAAACATGTGCCCAACCGTTTTTTCCTCATCTTGCACCATGGGACCTTTTTCTGGAGAAAAGTTTTTTACCACAAACCTAACATCATCGCCACCACTGGGTGTCTCTAGGCTATCGCTTGGGCCGGTAAGTAGATCACTCATTCTCTCATCGCGACCATTCTTCACGTCCATGACTTTGTCATCTGCGCGTTCTTGAATTAATGTCTTGACCGAGCAGATGGCGGATTCATGGTTGTTTTTCACAGAATATACCGCCGGCAAACTTTCTTCCAGCCTTTCATTTTCGTGTCTTTCCGAGTGAGAAGGGGGGGTTGAGCAGCAGAGCCTGGAGTCTTTAATTTCAACTTCAGTTTCTCGCAGTTTAACTTTGCAAATTTCCGTTCTTTCAGGAAAAGATGAGCGCATTACAACAGCCTCGACATTGTTAGATTGCTCGTGGTGAGGTGTATGTTCCAAGAAGCCTGTGGCTGCATCATCGTCACAGAGGTCCAACTCTGGGATAGATATGGAGGAAGATGCCGAGTTGCTGCTTTCCGTTTGGATCCTCTTAGGATGGGGCCCCCCCACTGACCTTTTTGAATGCTGCATGACTTCCCTTGTTATCTGTGCACTGCATGACGAATGAGGCACAGATTTAGTAGGTTCTGGGCCGGTCTTTGCTGTGTTACTGTTGTTTGTTGCATTGGGGGAATCGCAACCTGGTTGACCTATCCGCACCGGAAATGATGGCCGTCGGGCCTGGGTCGGTGGCGTTTTCTGTCTTGGCCTTGTTGGATATCCATCTTCAGTAATGGGCTTTGTGGGGCCCATTGGGGGGATCCCTTCATGTCTAGCTTTGGTCTTCGGAGGGGTTTCCAGGATGTGTAACTACACAAAGACATGCATTATTGTCAACGTGAGAATTGTAGAAAGTCCAAGAAAAGATAAAAAGAGGTCACAATTACAAAAATACGCTCTACGTGTAGCTTAATTACAAAATGTCCGGTCATCTATAACATATATATATGTATACTACTTAGAGTTGGCAAAATCAGCTTGGCCGAGAACTACCGGCCAGCGCCTAGCATATGATCGGAGCTCACTTTAGGGATAAAAAGACAACGGGTGTAATTAGGACTGATCCATGAAGCCTCGAGCCCATACACCGTACTAGAAACAAACATAAAAACTATCAATGGGCACAACCTGTCCAAAATAATATGTTGGCCCATCAAACCTGTAGCACTTGTACACCTTAAAAGATTTTAATTTATTTACATATAGACCCTGAAAGGGTGCAACTTGAAAAACAGAAGCAATAAAACCGTGCATTTGTAATTCAAAAATAGAATGCTTTAAGGGGGAAAAAAGAGGCTAAACTCAAGGGTATTATTCTTACCTGGTGCTTCAAAGAAGGCAATCCCTGCATTCTTTTAACAAACTCTGAGTTCACCTTGGAGGGTGGAGCCTCCGCACTACCCTTATGATGCCCGTAATAATTGGGGCCCGGTTTGGCAACCCTCGGAGATGCTTCCACAATTATTCTTTGATTGTTAACAACACCATTTTTAGCATGGTGGGTTCTCATGGGAGAACTATTCTCTCTATTCCTCCCTTCTTTCAGAGCAATCACGGTGTTCTTTAATGTATTGGGCTGCTGCTTTATTCTGTTGTTATATCCTGAATCTTCATGAACATCATCACGGTTGTCATCTTCAGCATTAATGGAAGCTGAATCTTCATTGGTGGTTTTGTTATGATGATTGCAGTTTGCAGTTTTGGACTCGTTCGGCATTATTACCATGCTGTCCCTGTCGCTGCAAGAACTGTTGCTGCTCTGGCTCTCGGCCATGCTCTTTCGGCTCTCACGAGATGCGGAAAGTGGTTTTTCAGGTGAATTGGTAACTGGACGGTATTGGTCAATGTAGGGCTGTAGATACGGGTTCTTAAGCAGTTCGGATGCCTGATAAATACAGATGACAAAAAAGAATTGTTTGATTAAATAAAAATGATTATAAAGATTTTTTAAACATCGTTGATTTGATGTGTTCCTTACACTTAACCGGTGTTCGGGGTTTTTCCTTAGCATGCTTTTGATTAGAGACTTCCTGTTGCGTGAAAAAATGTAATGACTCACAATATTCTCACCTTGATTCAGAAATAAGGCGCATAATAAACTAGCAAAAGAAAGATTTCACTTACAAGGATGGGGAGTAACAAGGGGGCAAAGGCCCCATAGATGATCTATTTATCTTGCTTATTAATCCTGCCATGTCCTGTGACATATAACCAGCTCTTAAAATATGTGAAAAACAAAATATAGGGCAGAATACAAGGCATAAAAGTGTTATGTTCATTCTCTCTGTCACTACAATTCACCATAGAAATAAATCCGGAAAGCATAAAGACAGACAATGTAATTAAACAAAACAAAGGATTTGAATCCTTACAAAAGCCTTGAATGCGGGGCGGTGAGCAGCCATTTCATACATACAGCATCCTGATTGAAAATTGAAACATTATATAATAGATCGTCCTAATTCCACTGGTCGATGAGCAGAAAAATAACATGGGCATACCGAGGGACCAAATATCTGACTTAAATCCATATGGAATATCGGCAAGAAGTTCAGGACACATGTAATTAGGAGTTCCAACTACCTGTACGAAACAGGAAGATGACTAGTTAGATTTAGCGAACCTTGCATTCTTGAACAATATAATGCAACATGAAATGTAATTTCAACCGACATCATAGTTTGTTAGAAAACGCTAAAGAAAAATCACATAAGATGTTGCAATCTCAGGTGAAATAAGATAGAAGCAAGCGATTTCAGCTAAATACCGATTTTGTTTTCTCTTTCTTTCAGTTTATTCATTTTCTATTTAGGACCTATCAAAGTACTTATGAAACACCAAATGTTGACTTCTGAATTGTCTTGAACATAAGCTCATGAAATCAACCATTCTCCAGGCTCTATCCGAATGCTTCAAAATTCTTTTCGCTCAAATGAAGTATTCAGACTATCTTTGAATTCGATGACGACTGTATAATAAAATTTCATTTTTCTAAATAATCCTACACACTGCATAATCAGAAAATTTACTGCTGCCATGAATATAATTGATAATTAAGTACTTTGAATCCCCTTTTCAAATTTAATAAGCAGATAACACTAAGATGTCTCTAGTGAGGTTCCAACCAAGCGACCTAGGTAAACATAAGCACAAATATAACTTTCTTTATTTCTTTAACGATACTTAACTAATTGGTTTCACAAGCTAAATAAATGGGTTATACACATATTAAGCACATACCGAAGAAGCCAAATCATCTGCCGTCAAAGTTTTAGCAAGTCCAAAATCACCTGCTCAAGGGGAAAGTTTAACAAAGAGGCACACCTAGAATAAGCTTGCGATTATATGGTTCTGAATTCAACACAAGAAATTCGGGTCAAGCTTAATTACCAAGACGAACATCTTGATCTTTCGTAATGAAGATATTCGAGCACTGCCAAGAACCGCTAAAAAGATCAGCCCCGATGAATCTTTAAGATAATACGTAAACCATTAAATTATATATAAAGAAAATCATCAGAATAAGATGCCTACTTTTAGATCCCGGTGAAGAACAAAATTGGAATGCAGATACTCAACAGCCAATAGTAGTTGAGCAAACCACTTCAACAATTTCTGCAGTGGACATGATTTAAAA